TTCCTTGGCATTTCATATTTGCAGCTCTTGAATGGCTGAAACTTACTTGACTATACATGAAAAAACTTTGGTAGCAGTGAATCCATCATATTTTCAACTTTTTCATGGTTTTGTTATTCAGAGAGTTTAAAATAATATATAAGGGGTTTGACAGAGGCTCTAGGTATAGTATTTAGAATGAAGAAATATTTGGCAGTGCATCAAACACTTGTTTAGACTGGAATTTTCAGACTGCCCAAGTGGTGGCTACATACATGAAATCTATGAATGAGCTTGTCCTATAGATTGTTTTATTACACTTGTGACTTGAAGACACAGTTAAGTTGCTGCAAATTTGTGTTACTAGTAATTTAGATCCCTGTAGATAATGATGTCCTATAGGCAGAATGAAAAGAATGCATAAGAATGACGGCTACCAGAATTCATAGAGGAAGGCTCCTTGTAGGATAAATGGAGAAACAAATTTCTTTACCTTTAGGACTGCAGGAATTCTGAAGCATAAAGAAGAAAATTACTTGCTAAAGATGCCTGTTATTTGCCACTCTCCATCTTGCAGATCTCTTGGAGAGCTTGCTAAAACACAGTACGCAGAAAAGGGGGTGGGATTTTCTAGAACCAGTTAAAGTGTAAATGGACTTTTTGCCACTTCTGAGGAAGTTCATCACAAGCTTTGTACAGAGAACAGAGTACATGTAAAAAGTGCTCTTAAGATACTTTTGTCACAGCTGATATAACAGGGATTTCAAAACCTGAGCGTCCAAAGTATTAAATGTTTAGACCTGAGTACTGCAACAAGTGGTTGGCACAGATGATGACCCCTAGCAGACATTCATGTTTTCTAGTTTTTAAATCAGATCTTTGCACCAAAGTCCAGTAAGAGGAAAATACTGTAAGGAAAAAAAGGAAAAAAAAAAAGGAGAAAAAAAAAAAAGTAAGCAATATAAGCAGTAACAACTTTATTTAGTACTTTTGCATACATTGAAAGCCCATACTTTCTCTGCTATAAAGGTCTTACAAATCTTAGTAAAACCGGATGAAGTATAGCAATCTGTATAAAGTTAGGTTAAGTTTTCTAAATTATAGAAAAGAGAGGTGGGTTGTTTCAAGTGCAAGAAAAATTGAAAAGGAAACAGGAAACTTCTGTGACAGAGAAAGATGGACACAGGAAACTGAAAGAACAGTGCAGAGCTAAAATGAGAAAGGAAACACTGTAAAAGGCCGAAGCAGGTAGGCTGGCTTTGATCTGCTGTGGAAGACTGTAAAAGAGACTTAAGGTGCAAGCTGACATCATTTGTGTAGAAACAATGTTTAGGCCTCTGCAGGCAGAGATGCTAGATGTGGACAAACATAAAGTAGTGTAGCTAATGGAGTTTCCTTCAAATGCTTGAGCCCATTATATACACCTCTTCATTTAAGAGAAAGCTATCATTCTGTCTTAGATTCACACTATAAGCATCCATGTGATAGTTAAGTGATGCTGTGCCTTTCATTTAATTTTAGAATAGCTCTTCAACTGGTAACTAAATAAAACTGTTGCACTATGAACATGTTAAATGGTTTCTTTTTGGAGAAATAAAATTAAACAGCTTTCAGCTCTGAAGCCTTTTTATGTGGGTGCAAGGTCGGCTCTGCTTTAGGTCAGGATTATGAATGTCTTTTTTTATGTATACTTATGGGTACTTTGTAGACTTATAATTAATTCGTTTGTGTTTAAATACAGCGGATGCTTGTGTCTTCTGGGGTTTATGTGGACTTGACACAAACTGAAAATAACTCAGAGGACTGACAGTTTATGTTCCCAGAGTAACATATTTTTTTCCCTTCAACCACCTCATACTAGTTTTCTATTACAATTGAGCTGGTTAGTTTTGGGCTGTTTATCTGAAAATGCTCTTTAAAGTCTATGAAAACTTCTTGTTCTTTTTCTGCTGGGTGTTGCATTTTCTGATACAAAACTATTAGCTGGATTATTTTTCAATTCATGGTTTACTTGCAGACTTTGGTAGCTTAGTAGAGAAAATTTTTATGTATTTAATTCTTTTTGGCTTTATAATTTCTTTTTCTTGTGATAAGGTAGCTAGTTTGTATCAGAAGAGGCACACTTGTGATAAAAACATTCATTTTCATGGTCTCCTTTAACACTTCCATTGCAATTAGCTCTTCTGTTAGAAACTGAGAGGCTCAGAAAGTGAAGATCCAGCTCAGTGATGCTTGACATGAAAGGCAACACTGAGTGACTTTGTGTCCTGTCTTTTGAGTTACATTGTAGATATCACACCCAGGAATGATGGTGGTCCGTAGTGCTGGTAATACTCCCTTCCTCACCCTGTAGGACTTTGGTTTTGGCCAACTGTCTAATATCTGGGAGCAAAATTCCTAAAAATAACAAATCATTAGAGAACCCCCACCCTGACGGCTCTGGGGTTAGTCTTCTTTGACTAAACGTTGCCCTGTATCAGTTTGTGAAATGCTTTACCATGACTCAGTCAGTCATTACCACAGTAGTCTTAGTTCATGTTCAGTGATACTGACATCTCTTATTCTACTTTTCTTTGTTGGCTTATAAGGTTCTAAAGTGCTAGTTTTGCTTTAGCAGCACTGTTTAAAAACCTCTGCCTTAATCTTTAAACTTTTCCTCACCAAAAAATATCATGGTTTAGACATATTGGAGTTTTGGAAGAGGAAGGAGAACATAAGACAGTAATGCCGCAACACTGAAATAAAAGAAGGCTTGAATGAAATCCTGTGGAGGCAAAAAGGTATACTTTTAGTTGCATACATAATTTTAATTTTGAGATACAGTAGCTTTAGCAAGCAAGCATATTAGTTTTAATCTGTCTTTCATGTAGATGTAACACCTACAGGACTTAGAATGAGGTAGGGTCTGTCTTATGGAAGGCATTCTTTCAGAAAATACTTGAGGAAACAATGTACTTGCTCCAAAAGATTTTGTTATCACTGTTCAGAGGTTAGATGTATACCATGGTATAAAGGTATTTGGTACTTCTTCCTGCCTTCTTGGACTCATTGAATTTGACTTTGTTTTTTTCTCTGCCAGGGTGGAATGTCACTGTTTTGCTGTTAGACCAAAGCAGAGACTCCACATACCTGTCAAGCTTCCTTACAAGTATAAACTGAATTTAGCATCTGCAGTCATCACTTTCAGATTCTGTGGAGAGATGAAAGATATGCATCCTTTTTTCGCTCAGTTTTTCCAGTTTTTGCCCATGTGTTCAGAACTCACAGTAAGCTGCAATGTATTTACCACACAAAACTAAGGAAGGTGCTAAAGAAAATGTCAAAGACTACTGGGCACTGGAGAGATGTATATAAGACACCAGTCCAAAGGCTTTTCTTCCTGATAGGGAGCCAGCAGTAACTGTCCTGAATGGGCTTTTACACTTGTACAGAGGTGCTTTGCGGTTTTTTTTTTCTTCCAACTGCTTTCAAGTACTTTATTTGATAACTTGTTGCAGTAATTTCACAGGAACTGAAATGTTGATTACTGGCCCTCCTGATAACCTCTGAATTTCTTCTTCCTCATTTTATATACAGTATATTGCTTTTTCCAGACTTTTCTACCATGAAGCATTGATGTCAATCTACCTAAATAATTCAACAGCCAAATAATCCATAACAGTACAATTTTTTGTCATCTCTTGACTAGCCTGTGAAAGCACTTTAAATGTGGGTGCCGCACAGGGTTAGGTAACTTGGAAGAAGAGTCTTTCAGCATCAAAGTGATGTTTATTTTAACACTAGAAATAAAGCTTTCAGTGAGAAAAGAAAGACTTGGAAGAACCTTTTTATGAACAGGCCTACAAACCTACCTAAGCATAAATCTTACCACGGATAGATGACATCTTTGGCAGGTGAAGCTTTTTTAACAGTCTCATTAAGAATCTATATCTGAATCTAATTCCCAGGAAGAACTACTGCTTCTCTTTCTTGGAGAGTATCCAATTTTAAATCTGTGCTTCATGTCTTTGGGACCTTCTGTCTTGAGGCTTTTTACATGAAACCAGTTTTATAGGTTGACTATAAATGAGAGTTCTGAGTTCATTCCTTAACAATACTGTGTAAGGAGATGCCTGTCTCAAAGTAGTCATTTTCTCCCTGCCTCCTTCTCCGGACAGAACCTTGCTGAATGTATTCAAAAATCCATCTTCCCTGTAGTAGGTCAACATGAAGTATTAATACATTATTACAAGGCAGCTTCAAATCAATTACAACAAGAAGAGAATGTGTAGGCACACCAAGAGAAGAATGGAAGAAATGCATGCCATTCTCAAGGTCATAATGTAGGCTTCTCAATAAAATTTAATTGCCCCTGTTTTGAATGATACTGAAGAGGTAGAAAAAAAAGTTAAGCTGAAGAACAAGTCTACAAAGTAAATTAATATACCACAGTAATAAAATTAAGATCCACAAAATGGCAGACATAAGATGAAAGCAATAAATGAACTACGTTGTAATGCCAGTTTTAGAGTAAATAATACGTTGCTTCAGTTACCCTCTAGTGATGAAATTAGAAATCTGGTCATGATAAAGTCAAAAATAACTGTGAGACCAAATCTTCAGGAGGGATAATGAGGTTCCATCAGCATTAACAGAGTGTAAATTCCTGCTAGGTAAACTGACACATGCCTTTGCTACTGACTCCATTAGGAATAGACACACTTTTTATGTAGTGAATGTAGTAACAACTTGGACTGAACGTGCCTAAGTTTGAAGCATCCTGAATTGGAATATGACAAATACAGAAGGTTGTACCTCTGACTATAGTGTGGGCCATTCCTGTTCTCAGCATTGTAGATCATTTTGCTTTCTACTCTGTCAGTACTACAGTTTGCACAATTGCTAATGCTCTAATGTTACTGTATATGCTCTTCATTTTCTCCACATTGTGTATTAACAGAAGGAAGATGGAAAGCAGCTTAATGATATCATTTTGGTCCAAGGCATATGAACGACAAACTAGCTTAAATGACAAAGAGCGGTATAGTCATGTCTTTATTCTGGTAGTTCTATTCCAGTTGAAATTATTCGTACATCTTCTTCTTTTATGGGAAACCACCAGCAGAGTTCTTAATAAACTACTCTTTCTGGAGACTGCAGTGCAAAGCATTTTCCCATTATAGTTCTTCCCCTCCTGGAACTGTTCCCTGTAATTCTAAAAAGAGCATCATTCTTAAACTCTGAAAGATGGTACAAAGAGTCTTCTGCAGAGGTTTCTATTTTCTTCTACAAGTCAATAGTATAAAATGCAGAACAGTAGTTTGAACTGAAGCACAAGGTGCTATCATTATAATTTTCTTGCAGAACACTGAAAAGCTTGATTTTCTCCATTGCATGTAGTTGTAGTAAAGTGACAAGAAAATCTCTTGTAGTACAGATAGCCTAGATTTGTCATAATATCCACTGTGTGTCCCTGGCACAGTGGCATACAGTTTATTCACTTTGTGCAAAGGGAAAGTAAGAAGCACAACTAAAAGTAGGTTGCAGAAAAAAAAGTACCAACCTCAAGCGTTTTCTAAATTATAATTTTAAAGCTGTAAATGAACAGGTAGAGAAGCAATGAAATCATTTAAATGAAAGGTACATTCATAGTGGAGTCATTCAGAGATTAACTTGGAGGAACAGGGTTTTGTAAGTCTTGAGGCGAGCAGAGAGAGAGGAGGAGAATCTTCTAGATCTTGAACATAAACATTACCTGTGATAACAGCAGTCACCTTTGAGGGAACATAGAACTTCCACTGCACAGCATAGTGGAATCTGGAATAGATATTGTGGAATATATGGGGTTATAACCACATGGCAGTTGTACTCTGTGGTACATTCATTTGAATGCTTATAGTACTTTCTGCGTTTGCACTCACATTGAGCTGCCACAAGAGGACTTTGTAGGGATGTCCTGGATTCCACCGTAGCAGTCAAATCAGCTGAATCAGACAAATCAGCTTCTTTTTCTAAAGTACAGTCCCATTCTCTCGTCTATAAATCAGAACTGCTGTTTGCTCACTTTTGTGTATGTGAAATCATTCTTGGGCCTCCTCTGCATACCTGCACAATACAAATGCACAGCTGTGCCTATGGGTGTGAAAACCATGAAACCTTAAGGCACATAAGGCTACCCTAGCATGTACGATTGAGTAGCTGTTTAAGGGGCTTATTCAAGGAGGGTCATTTATACTGCATGTTACTGTATATGTTTTCATTAGATGTCCTTTTCTGTTGCTGTTCCATTTTTCTTTACAGCTAGTTTTATACTCCCCAGTATTTTATACTTGATTCCACCTTTTATGGTAAAATTCAAACTCAGTAAAGATGAAGCAAGCCACATTTTGAGGGCAAGTCTTTTTAAACCTGCATGTTCATCTCTGCTTAATCTGGCTTCCTGAAGTAGGTAGTGTCCTACTGTGATGTGCTAACTCAAATCATTGCTATTATACTAAAGTGCTGGAAACCCACTGATGCTGCCCTGATTCAAAGCCTATTGGAAGAAATGGAAATCTATTAATTTCAGTGAGCTTTAGATCAAGCCTTTCCAGCCAGTGTGTATATATGTGCTTCTTCAGATATGTTAAGAGCACTCCATTGTCTTGGCTGGCATTGTGGAATGTCCAAAAATAATTCCTATATTTTCAGAAGATGGAACTGCTAGTGTGGTCCTGATGTTTGTAATGAGGATGAGCAGATCTCATGACTGTCTGGAATCTCAACATGCTTTATTTTCAGGTTTGCAGAAATAGTTCTGGTTTACAAAGCTTTATCCCCATTTTAATTTATTTTCTTTCCAGAAGTGATTATGAAAACAGTATTTTGCAACAAGCAGTGCTTGTTAAAGGGACCCGTGATCTACACAGTCTATTAGGATCAGAGGTGCACACAAAACCTAGCAGCTAGTGACCTAGATGCACTGTTCTGCTTTTTTTTTTTTTTCCTGAACTAGATAGTCTCTTTCCCCCTACTTCTTGGTTTTATTTTTTATTATATTTTTTAACCTAACAGCTTTCCTGTTTTTTTTTTGGTTTGTGTTGTTTGGGTTTTTTTTGTTTGTTTTTTGTTTCTTTTTTTTTTGGCTGTCTTTTCACTCTCTTCATTGAGTAGTTTTTGTATATACTTCTTTTTAATCTGAGTTACTGAAGCTAAAATATTTCAAATGAGCAAAAAGAATTGGGAGGTATCTTGTTTAGATATAATCTCGGATGATGATTCATTAATTATAGCTGGGCTGAATAAAGATACAACAGAATAATAATGGATAATATCTGCTGTTAGAAAGATGAAGAGGGAAGGAAAAGTTTTTTAGTAATATGTTCTTACATTAAAGAAACAACCAAGCTATTCACTAATACAAAGTAGGGTGTCTCTCTGTTGTGTCCATGTGAATCCCTGACTTTATTAGTGTGATTCAACCATATTATATATGATCTATATTCCAGTCATTCCTCCAGGCTCCAAAAGGCTAGGAAATAATCTCAAAACTTTCTAAATAGGTAAGATCAGCACAGGTACTGATTTTAGAACAGCTAAGTTCTAAAGTGATGCGCAGAGCATCAAATTTGGGGGAGAGGGAATGATTTATTTTCTCTGAGGTCACAGATTAGAAGCTGTAAAACCAACCCCATTCTCAGATACAAAATACAATACCATAATCCTATGATCATATTAAAAGAATAATAGATTTTTATGCCAGAAGAAATCATTAGGACTATTGAATTGAATATGTGGCAAAGGGCTACATTTTCCTTTGAACTAGGCTATATATTCTAGTTTCCAGACTTCAGCATAATACTCTAATGTGTAATTTAGTTGGGATAGATTAATCTTTAATAGCCCAGGCATTTCACATGAGTTTAAAGTAAAGTGTTTATTTCCTGTACATAAGTCTATCAAATCATCAGGAATATAGGTAATAAATTGACTTTTGTAATCTCCTCAGGGCAACAAAAAGGAATCATCCACTGTGATGCATATAAACAAAAGAGCCATGAAATCTCCTAGCTTATAATCACATAAATAATGAGGAGCTTGCTAATAAAATGAAGCAAAATACCAAACTCTTTGTAAAAATATCTAAGAAGCCATAGGAGTGCAATTCTTCAACAGTTAATGTTGGGATATTGCAGCCTAACTTCCTATGAGCTTGCTAATCGAAGTAACTCGTCATAGGCCAGGTTGGATGGGGCTTGGAGCAACCTGGTCATGTGGAAGGTGTCACTGCCCATGGCAGGGGCCTAAAACTCTGCGAGCTTTAAGGTCCCTCCTGACCTGAATCAGTGTGGGACTCTATGATTAGGATCACATTTCACTGGTGACCAGAATGGTGACTGATGTATAGACTCTGTTAACATATGGTCCCTGATCAGAATGGGGATAGATAAATACGTTACTGCCTTGTGTCTCAAGGGAGATTAATTTCAATAGCTTGTGACAGTTATGGTGCTCATATATATGTGCATATCTAAATAGCCCTTTCAAGAATATATTTACTAAAATGCTTAACACTTCTGTAACCAATGAGATACTTAAAAAAATCTAAGTGAATTATAAGGACAGCATGGGTCAGAGTGGTGTCTTTGCTCTCCCTAGTTACAATATGAAGGATAGTTGGGCAATTGACATGGGTGTTTCCTATTTCCATATGACCCTGCTTCTGAAACCCCAACCCAAAATTCAGGTGACAACTTAGCTGGGACTTACAGGGTTATAGCATTCCATCTCATTTGAGTACTCATCCAAGTGCAGAACATTTTTAATTAGAGTTTCAATGTATGCCTCAGTAAAGAATAAGGCTTTTGGGTGCTTATTCCTTTTCTGGTTGTGTAGAAATGCACTGCAGGATACAAAGGGTTGATGGATTCCTTTTTTATTATTATTATTGCTTTGTTCTTTCGAGTTAATTTGAGATGTGGGTTAAATTATTCACTTTTCCCCTGAATCTATAATTAGCTATGACTTATACTGAGAGATTTCACTGCATGGTAACATAATGCCAGTTATTTTTATGTAAAACATATGTTTTTCATAGAGGTTTAGATAGTTGTGGGTTGCAGTCAGAGATTTTTACCATGCAGTTATCTCTTAGATTTATGTAATAGCTTGTTCAGATTTATTTATTTATTTTTAAATTTAAGCTCTGTCAGAAGAGATGAAGCCTGAATTTCAGGTACTGTGGGATTTCTTTAGAGAGATCTGTCCCGTATAGTTTTTCCTTCTGATTTTATTACCTTTTACTTTAAATGTAATTTATATTATATAAAAAATACAATTCATGCATTAATTAATAGACCTTTTTGGCCAGGTATTTTAAAGTAAAAAATAGGTAGATGTAAAACTTGAGCAGAAGGACAGTGCTTTCACTTTTCCATTTTAAAGCTTTTATAGTAAAATGGAACTTCAGCTTTCATCACAGGGAAAGGTGACCCTTTCAAAACCAAAGTAGGTAAATAGATCTTATGCTAGCTGCAACAAAGAAAGCTCTTTAAAATAAAATGGAGCAAAGTACAGTGGCACTGCAGAATCTAGCCCAGGCTGAAAGGGTCTGCAAGCTGTTTTTATGGTAGTCGGCTGTTTGGTCCTTTCTCTGCCTGAGTTGCATTGAGCATCCTGTCTGAGAAGCTGACCACTCATGAATCATGAATGCATAACACTGCCTTCTGAAATGGGGTGTTAGAAGTTTGGGAATGTGTGAGAAACTGTGGAAATAGCAGAGAAGGGGAAAACTAGGTGACAGAATGGAAAGACACAGCTATTGTGAAAAAACATCAGCTATGTTAAACTCTGATCTCACGCACACTCACACGTTAATTTCAGCTGTACATCTATAACCCAGCACACCAGTTTATAATCTTATTTCCATAAAGCTGCTTAATTAGCTGAGCACTTTGGGCCCAGTGTTACTCTGTCAATTGATGCAGTCCAAAAAGGCTGTGAGGCCACTAATGAAATCCCAGTGATTTTCATCTGGGTTACATTTGGTTGCCAGTGGACCGTACTTGGCTCAGAATCTTGTAGTAAAAGTTGTTCTCAGCTCCCTTTAATTAGAATTATAGAATGGTTAGTGTTGGAAAGGACCTTAGTATCATCTAGTTCCACCTCACCTCCCATTAATTAATTATCTTAATGCAGACATAATAGTTCTCAGAGCCTTTCATTTATGGTGAAAGCTTTAGACAGTGAAATGTTTTTATAATTTTATAGATAGAGAAGCTGCATCCAAGGAGTTCCAAGTGATTTGCCTGAAGCAAGATGATGATCGTCAGAACTAGGACTAGAATGCAGAGGAACATAGCTCCCATTCTCATGCTTCATCTACTGTATGCAGTGACCCATGTGCACTTTCTTGCACATTTGTATTATATATTGCAGGGGAAGAGTCACAATATAGTTTTTGATAATAAGCACCAAAACGTACTTTTGCTTTTATGTATTAATAATTTTTCAATACTCAATGGAACAGAGCATGTTACTATTTTGGTTCATGCAGACATGAAGTGTTGTCTCCTTGAGGAACTGAAAAAGATATGTTCTCTGTACGGAAGAAGTACTTTGACCAGGGAAGACTCACTGTTCAGAAGATCAGTTTTATTTTTCTTCCCACATGGTGAGGTTATTATAATTGGAAATAGCATCTTACTGGTGGGAAGTGGGGTATCACAAAAATATGTCGGGAATCAATAATCATGCATTGAATTTAAATGGTGAAATTGTTGCACAATAAACAACTCACCTGTTACACTATGAAATACTGGATCTGTTCCCTGGTAAGGTGATTTCAAAG